AATGTGGAGCAGCCTGAGAATTGGACCCAAAAAATCAATCTGCAGATGCTTGCACTGGGTGTCCAGGGGGTTTTACTAGTGAGGAGGGTATCGTATGACAGAAATGGGATCGGAGTCAAACCAAAAAAAAATGCACCCCAAAATCACCCCTTGCCCAAGCTCATTCCACCATTTTCCAAAGGGGTCACATGATGTACTCCGGATAAACTTGTGCCGGATCATACACCACGAACTCTTTATTGTCCGTGAATCCCAGGATGGAATCCTCAGCTCCAAGGATTCGTCCAACCTCTGAGGTCCAGCCACATGATCTAGGATTCAATGGGATCTGACATATTTGGCTAAACCAGATATCTGAAATAGAATTCAATGGGATCTCTACATTACCTGAAATATTTTTCCATTGGATTTCCCAATGGCCCTCCCATCCCCGGCCACCCAGAGTCGATGTTGGGATCCTCTGCATATCGGTCCGCCGTGCGGTCCTGTCCTTCTGGAAGCATCTTGACACCGCCCAGGGCCACACGACACAACAACATGATCTTCTGGTCCTCTTCCTCGGTCGTGGTAAAAATCGATAACACCTTTCTACCGCAATGGGATCGGTCTTGGTCTATCTGTCTGTCTTTCTGTCTGTCCGTCCCTCCATCCATCCATCCATCCATCCATCCATGGGTATGTCATATATCCTTGAAACTATATATAATTTCTCTCCCTGAATTGTCATCTCTGTATATCAGCAGCCACCTCTCACTGGGCGCACTTGTCTATGCACAACATACGTTACCTCGCAGTCATTGGCGGTGAATCCCCACTTGTGACTACAGTGCGAGTCCTTGAGGACTGCATGTGCATATGCATATGTGCATATGCATATGTGCATGCATGGAAGGGCTGGTGGTACTTTGCACATCTTTGCATTGGTTTATTTTGTTTTTAAAAAGTGATACCACACATTCTGCTGACCCACACAGCATCAACAAAAAATTACCCCCAACCACATCTCCAGAACCTGCAACCAGCTTCGGTCCGGCTTGCATATTGGTTGCTCTTCCGCGCATCGTCCGCGAAGTAGATCCCCGAGCCAAAGCATCCACCGCTGCTGGCGGTGAAATTACTTCGAGAGATAGCCTGAAAGATTCTGAAAGGGCAGGGGGAAATGGCCTGAGAACATCTAAAATTAGGGAAACAAAAGGTGGTGGCTGGTTGGCGATATAGCAATTTAGTACGGTTTAATACGGATCAGTGTGGTTTAGTGCAATTTATGAAACGGCACAGCACACAGTTTTACTCACGCAGGGCAAGCGTTCTTGAGCCAAAGCCCAAGTGAGAGTCCTTGGCACATAACAGTACCTGACAATGGCTGTGCATGGGTAACATGCTATGTATAAGCTATATGATCTAACACCCCTCCACTGAGCATAGTCCTTGACTTTGCTCCGCCGAAGGTGGGTCAATTATCTTGGTCGGCACTGCTTACAAGCTATATAGCCTGCATTGATGGCAACACCACGGAGCATATTTCTGACCCTGTGTCTATTCACAGCTGCACACACCATCCCACAGCTAGGACGATGATACTTTTCACATACGAATTCATCTGCTGCTGATTCATTTGCAGCAGTTGAGCTTCTTGCTGCTGGTTCATTTGCAGCAGCTGAACTTCTAGACCGAAGACCTTCGCCTTCAGGAGTTCTGTTCTGTACAACTTCTGTTCTCTCAGACGAGCTTGTCGTTCTCAATCCGCGATCTTTTTCTGCTTCGCCCATTTCTGATATTGAAAGTGTCAGCTCTTTCTTCGGCTTCATCCACTTGACCATGTTCAAGACGAGACTGATGAAACCATACCCAGCTAACAAATGAACAATCAGGAAGTACAGCCAAAGAAGGTGATCGCTGAATCCTCTTGTTCATGCGTTCCTTGACGTGTTGCAAGGTCAACCGGCCCCTGTATCAACCAAAATCATTTTCTTGGACTCTATGGCACCTGCAACAGAACTGTCCAAGTCGCTTTGATCGAGTGTTGCAGACAATGGTTCGCCTTGGGGCTGGCTCATCTTCTGGGGCAGCTGGTGCTACGGTACTTGTGTGATGTCTTTTCCTTCTCACGATCATCCTTTTGTTTCACCCTACATTCAGGCTTGGTATGCCCCTTACGATGACAGTAGTGGCATTCCTTGTCCTGATTGAGGTTCTTCTTCTTATTTGTGTCTCATCCTGTGCCCTTACCCTTTTGTTGGGAACCTGAACCGGTACCTTTGGATTCGTTGGATTTGCCCTTACCTTTGGGTTCTTACCCTTGTCTTTTCCTTTGCCTTTTCCTTTGGGGGGCTGCCCCAATTTCCATAAGTTGTGGCATCTGATTCAAGACCCGGCTGGCTCTTGCAATTTCCAGCAATTCACTACGAACCAAGTGGTGGCTGCTCAACCAACTTGAATTCCGTATCACGGGATCCCTCATGGTGTTATCCTGCAACCCAGCAATCACCACACCGAGAAGGATTTCATCATCCAGGGTCTTACCAGATTCAACTTCATATCTTCTTCTGATATTCTTTTCAAACATCTCCACCTCTAATTCAATGTCAGACAAAACTTGGTAGTAAGAATCAGCGACAAACTACCCACAAACCTGCTGGCCAGTTTGGGGTGGTAGGTCTCTTCCAGTTTCCGGAACGCGTCAACCCCTTCTCCTGGCCCTGAATTCTGAATGATGTCCAGTGCCCTTCCCTTGGCCAACATGGCCAAAACATAGCACAACTGGGCAGATAAGGCTTTATCCGATTCACTCAGCAACCGGTTGGGCATAGGGACCCTTGATTGTTCAATTCTTTCAAACAAACCGATGTAACTGGCTGAGATGCATGCCATGTGAACCTTGAAAACAAATGACCAATCAGAATATTCAGCAGGGTCTGACTTGAACTGTTCGGGTTTTCCTATCTGCCGTGTATCAACAGTCATTGGTGGGATGTTCCGAACTTGAACTTGGCTGGGCTCCGTGAAGGCCACCCTGGAGTACAAGTTGTTGGGTTGGCATCATCCCAGACAGCTCACTTTCACCATGTGCCCGGCTCTGAGCTGCATTGAGCTGGTCTATCTGGGCCTGCTGTGTGCCCAACCTCTCATTAATTTGCTGCAACAGCAGCAATAGCTGTTGCTTTTGGGGGTTTGTCGTCGTCTGGCCCTCCTCCATAGTCGGGCTTGTCTTGATAGTCTTGACCTGGATCTGGAGATTCTTCCTCCTCTCCTTCTTCAGCTGGCAGCGCTGGAAAGGGTTTTGTCTCCTTCTTGATCTTCTGCCTGAATTCAATCCTCTTGTAACATCTTGTTACCTTCCAGAGTTTGTTCCCCCTTTTGACAGCGTCTGCCGCTGGCCTGTATCGACTCTTGACCTGCTGATCCTTCTGTCCTGGCTTGTCTTTCAGGAACTGCAGATCGTAGTCGAAGAGGTTCTCTTGGAGCTGATCTCAATCCAACTCCTTCTTTGGCCACAGACTTAAGCCTGATACCACCAGCCTCAGGCTCTTCTACTTGCTTTCCTCTTTCTTCTTTTCTTTCTCTCACTTTTCTCTTCTATTACCCTTCTGGGTGGCGGTGGTTCTTCGGTCACTACCAGCCTCGAAGGCTTCCTCTTTTCCCTGGCAGAGCTCCCCAGGGCTACAAACTCAGGGAATCTTTCTTCAGCGCTTTGTTTTTGGCGCTCTTGTCTTGTTCTTTGGCCCCGGGCTATCCGGGCCTCTTGCGCTTCCTGTGATCGCTTGCCCTTTTTCGTTTGGGGCCTATCTTGCCAAACGCGGGGCCACCCGCAAATGGCTGCCCGAGGCGGCTACCCGCCAAGGGCTGTTCGAGGCGGAGCCACCCGCCAAGAACTGCTCTCGTCGGCGCTACCCGACAAGAGCTTGGAGCCGAAGCTCCGCTACCATGAAACGGCACAGCACACCGTTGTACTCGCGCAGGGCAAGCGTTCTTGAGCCAAAGCCCAAGTGAATGTCCTTGGCACATAACAGTACCTGACAAAGGCTGTACATGGGTTACATGCTATGTATATAGGCTATATGATCCAACAGTTTAGTATAATGTAGTATGGTTGAGTTGCAGTAGCTATAACCCTATGGGCTAATGGTTCTAGTCCACCCATGATTGATCAAATAGAGAATCAATCAAAGGTGCACTCTTGCTTGGGCCCGGTCACGTGCATTCCTTGTGGGGCCCGGTAATGATCATCTCTGTGGGGCGTAAGAAACCCAGTATGATGGGACAATCCCCATCTAATCCCAACATCATGATGAAACTGACCCAATTTCATCGACTGCATTTCCTACCACCATCCGCTCACCATGCTACGGAGTCAGCATGCCTATCAACCCTATCCCTACAGTTTCATTCAGAATTCATGATTGCCTCGTCCTCTGTTCCAACTCAACATCAACTAATTAGAAACGGTCGTTGACGCAGAGATCCAAGGTGCGTGAACAAAATTCAGAAGGGGGCGAAAACAAGTCAAGCTCATAAAGATAACAATAGTGATGCTACGAAAATTTTAAAAACAACAACAACACTGATAAAAACAATTATTTAATAGCAATGATAATAACAATCATAACAATCATAACAATAATTAACGGTAATAATAATAATGCTAAACATTCTCCCCAGAAAAAAATAGTGGAAACCTGCTTCATAACCCCAGTGGGGATGTTCCATCAGCACCTTGGCAGCCTCTTCTGAGGTGCCTCAGAATGGGAAGTGCTTCACCACCGGGAATTCCGGGTTCTTGTTGGTACAACTGGAGATAATGATATTGCCATATCATATATAACCATAACCATAAGGATACCTTCAGAGTCTTAAGAGTTGTTTCTTCGAATTCCTTCTTCTTTATTATTGCCAGAAATGGTTTGTTCGATAAAATCTGGGGGATAAAAAAGGACACTGCGCACAAATAAAGCGATTCCAATGACATGTTTGGACACGTGTGATGACTTGCCATGGCGCCATGCAGCAGCCAAACTTCATTGACACTATGGTCCAGTGTGGTGTTGGCAGAGTACTGGATACTCTCGGCTGTTTCCTCAGAGCATCGGCTGAAACACAGCCAAAACTAGCTGTGAAAGTAAATCTATGTCAATGGCCATTTTAGGAACCTAAATTGGAGGTACCTACCATATATAAGGCCTATGTAAGGGAATATCCCCACAAAATATGGCCTGAAAAATGGTACAGTACCTCCATTTTTGGATCCTGAAATTCCCATTGACTATGGTTTAAATTCCAACATCGTGTGATGATCATTGGGGATGCGCCAGGCTTCCGGTCGCACATCTGCCTTCATCACCTTTCTTTCGCGGAGCCTCCAAGAGGACAGCTGGCAATAATCTGAACAGAAACCTAGTATGCTTTGAGCTCATGGAATTTTAATAATTTCTAACCCTGGAAGGGACCAAAATTAACAATGGAATTACAGTACGATGTTTCAAAAGTTTTAAAGACAAACGACAATCTGCACACTTACTGCTCGAAGGCATTGGGTAGCAAATGATCAGTGTACACCTGCACTAAATCGACCAGCAGGGAAATATTGACACATCGACAAGCCTGTCAAAAACGACTCCAGCCAAAACGACATGTGGCTGAGAGGTCCACCCCAACCCCCCCAAAAAGAAACTTGCAAAATTCCCCATCTTGATGGGTAAAAATCTAAGACTCAATGAATTGGTATGAATTCTGGTGCAAATTCAGTACTCAGAATCGTCTACACATTGGTTTCCCTTTCAAAAGAACATGGATCAACAGCTGATCTCCAAGCAGCTGGGCCCGTTTCGCCGAAAACTTCTCCCACAGCAGGGCATCTTCGATGCGTTCGCAGCGCACCACTTTCCAGTCGGGCAGGCGCCGTTGAAGAATTTTGGTCCCCATCCTCGGACACTCGGACAGTCCACCGGCTGGATCCTTTGAGAGCTCACGGACGATCATCCGCCTTTGGGTCATCTCTGGAACTGATTCAATGTCTAAACCCCAACAAAAACCAGCTGTGGGATGGCTGCAGGACGGCTAGTTTTTTTTCGCCCCTGCTTTGTGGTGGTGTCGGTGCCAAACCACGGAGACATCCAACCACATAATTTTGGAAGCAAAAGGGTGTAAAGTTCAGATTTTTTTTGTTGCCAAGCAGCTCTTTCACGTAGTCCCCCCCAATTTCTTCATGGAAAGGTTCCGGCCAAACAGCCGCAGATCTCCAGTACCACGGAGGACACACTGCTTCATTGGCACCTCACGAGGCCGTGGATACCTACCGTCCAGTGAACCAACGGAAAACCCATGATTTCACCCGAAGGGTCACATGTGAACCAAACATGCTGGTTTTTTATGTTGGTTTACTCGGAATGCAATATCAACCATCCCTTGGCTATTGAAAAAAATGTAATATGTGAACCATATAAGAAAAAAGGAGTCATGACAAACTTTCGGGATGATCCCTGCCATAGCCCCCCCCCATGCCAGCATACCTTGGAATAATTGGATATTATTCCAGCCCCATTGCACATGTTCTGGGAAAACATTCCAGTGTGTCACACGACATTGGGAATAATTAGGATAAATTTAGGGCAACCCCCCCTCTCCATTCATATAAAAATACAAGTTGTAATCAAATTTGGTATATTTTTGGCATGTGTTGATTGAGGTTGTATTGCCACAAACCACTAGAAACCTAGTGTCAGAAAACCTTTTCAAATAAGCTCAAAAATTTATTGGGATCTTGAAAGTTTTGCTCGCTCCTGGTTTCAAAGATGTGCTCCGGCAATGCTCAACCTATGTCAACCTGTGAAGAATTCCTAGGTGTTTCCTGGTGATGCCCAATTTCCCCTGGGTGGTTCAGAGTGGAGAGACAGTGTAACAGTCCAGAGGTGAGATCTGGCGGTACTGTCGGAAGCTCATCTGGGAGAGGATAGTATCCTGCAGTGTCCTTGGGATCAATGGGTCCCTTACTACGTGCCGCATGAGTTTTGGCTGCTACGTAGGCTTGTTGAATCAGCGCTCCATGCTGTGTCGCCATGATGTGCATTGATTTTTGTTGGCACGGGCCAGAATGTTCCTCGCTTCTTCTTCCCTTCCTTTAGCGGAAGACATATGGGTAACTTCTGGTAACTTAGCCAAAGACCAATGGACCCACTGAGTGAACATTGGTGACCCAATAAATGGTTTGAAGAATCCCTGGGTTTTTTCTGGATTTTCCTATCTTTCGGGCAATAGGACCATGACAAACAAAGAACCAAGGCACCTGAATTGATCGGGATGGCCAAACCCAAAGATTTACATCCCATGTCTGACAAATCGGCAAGAGTGATGATCGCAATAGGAACTGAACCTTCAAAATTTTGACAGTTGAAGAATACGTTTTCTTCCATCTTGGATGATATCCCGTCTGCAAACCCCAACCAAGCGTCGAATGTCGCAATCGATATCGTGGCCACACGTGCCTTTCTCTTTCTTCAGGTATGCCTCAGGCATTTGTTGACATTCTGGTATCCAGGATTTGTGGTTTAGCTTGGGGAAGGATCATTTGCTCGCCTCAAACGCAGCTTGTCGTCAAACCCAAGCTGTCAAAACAATGCGTTGTTTGGTGTTGGTGTCTTCAACGATATTTGGCAGAGCTGCCCGTGCTTTGCTACAAACGGGCCGGCAACGTCATTGAATTATTCCTCCCGTTCAGAATGGTGTGCCCAACAAAGTGAACAAATTCAACCAGTGGAACATGTCGTGGTCTGTTTATTGGAGAAAATTGTTTGACCATTTTTTTGATCATGGGCGTCAATGTGGCTTTCCGACCGAGGCACGCAGCTTTTACAGCATGTTGTGAAACCTTACGTTTTTCCGGCTGCGGCAGACCTTGGGCCTGTTGAAAAACCAGGAAGTTTCAACATCCCAACAGTTGGGAATGACCGGATGTGACATTAATCACTAATGGGTGAAATGGATTAAACCAACACAAGTTGGAGTAAATTGTAAATACAACCAGTCAAATATGTTTGGCGTTTCCCTTTTCCAGAAAATTCATGCCCACAAATTGGCTGATGATCTATCTCACTTGATGAACATGTCTTGACACAAGCCTAATAGCTGTAACAGTGGCACGAAGGAGAGCACGAAAAAGCACGATTTTTGGCACGAAGGAGAGCACCAAAAAGCACGATCTAGAGCACGGTTTTTGGCACGAGGGAGAGCACCAAAAAGCACGATTTTTGGCACGAGGGACAACAACAAAAACCACGAATTTGTTCACGAAGGAGACTGGGCAAAGGAGAGCAATGCACGAAGGAGAGCACCAAAAAGCACCATTTTTAGCACGAATGAAAGCACCAAAAAGCACGATCTAGAGCACGGTTTTTTTGGCACGAGGGAGAGCACCAAAAAACACGATTTTGTGCACGAGGGAGCGCACCAAAAAACACGATCTAGAGCACGATTTTTTGCACGAGGGAAAGCACCGAAAAGCACGATTTTGTGCACGAAGGAAAACACTCAAAATAACGTTCGCCCAAAATATAAAGAATTCCTTTTTTTGACTGTTACAGCTATTAGGACAGACTCTAAACATGTGTTTGAAATTGGTTTGAACAGGGCGGTCATTTGGACTTTATGCTGCCATGCTGGTTCGGAAGTGAAAATATGTAACCCCAAGAAATGAATCGCCCATGCTAAAACACAGGCCATGGTAACCATGGCACCTTTGCCACAATCACGTCCGCAACCGTTTTGACACAGGAGGCTCACAGCCATAATAATAAGTCGCTTTGGACTTCGGGCCCTGCAGGCAATTTTGACGGATTGTTATGTCATGTGGTATGTCGCTCAATTCCTATGGGAATGCGGCACGGCCCAACCCCCAAAATGGGATAATGTTGGTTGAACTTGTCGATAATCATGTTCTCCTGTAGGGTCTGACATTGTCTGACTTTAACAGGGCAAAAAATGATCCCCTGTAATTTAATGGTTTCCGACGGAGTCGCTGAAATGTATGGACATGACAGCACAATGCCACCACTTAAACCACTGTGAGCCGATGCCAACCATCACGCACCCTTGACCCTCAGCCACGCTGGGTCATTGCGGCAATTGTTTGGCAAAATTGCCTACACTTTTTGGCAGTCATCTTGGCCATACTTAAATGGCGAGCAATGATCCTCCTTTGCCAAGACTTGCGTCAGCTCTCTACTTGTAAGAAAACCGTTCACTAATTCATCCAGAATTCGCAATGCTACATTTACATGCCTCCATCGCGATGGCCCAGAGATAGCCGCCCTTTGGCACCCGCACACTTCCCATCATTGCGATTTCTCATTTTCCCACTGTTAACTGGGAGAAACGATAAATTTTGATTTTGATTGTGTAATTTTTTGACGCCTCACAAAAAAATGCAATCCAATTCACGCTGCAAAACTGTGAGTCGATAAAAACGAAGTTCCTCAGTCAGCAGCAACCCGCTCCCGTGATGATGCCATTTTAAGACATTTTTTCCGCGTTTTTTATGTTGTTCCTGCGGGTGTGCGAGCAATTTTCCAGGCAACAGAGCTTGGGAGATGAAGGAGGCGGAAAACAAAACTGTGCATTCGCGCCCCTGCAGAAAGATGCTGCCCACCTGGAAACCCAAGCGTGGCAAGCAGCTGCACGGCATCAAAAATTTCGGGTTAAACACGTGCAATTGTTTGAATGTGTGATCACAAGGAGCATGTAGCGCATGTGGTGAAAAAAATCGAATGTTATCATGACAATATATGATCCGACTGACCACGCAATATTTTTCGACATGATCATTTTTCCTTTGCGCGCATGTGCATGCGGCTCGGTTTGATTGATGGGCTACAGTACATTGTTTGATTCGCAAAGACGGTGTATTGACGAACGCGGGTCAACCACATCAGGTGCTGCATACGCGGGAGGAGATGTCATTGCACAAAAACGTCATACCATAGTACTCACGCACCAAAATATTGTTATGCAAACCGATAAAATTTAGCAAGAATCTGCTTCTAAAAATCGCCTTCGTTTGTCCCACACTGTTGTCAGTTCAGCTGTTTGTTACGCAGTGGTCATTGTCCAATCCAAAAGCTGCAAATTGGAACGGCGCATTGTTGCCCTCCAAAATTAACATGGTCACAGTGGCACTGGGTGGTCAGCACAGTGGCACACGATCCTTCATGAGTTGAATTTATGACAAGTTGCATGTGTGGAGGAAGCCGGCATCAAAGGTTGGGCACACCAGTGGTACGAACAATACAAGCGTTTTTTTGATGCAGCTATCGCAAACCTACCTGTGGATCGTGACACTGGTGGAAACCATCGGCCCGGCACACGACTTTGACAGCAATGACATGACAAATTGAAAGCATATTGTCCTTGTGCACATTAGGTTCGTGGCGCGAAGTTGCATTGGATGAAGAATTTTGGGGCCAATCATGAAAAGAGGTTTTCAAAAGTTTGGCTGGCAATGACCTGAGCCGGTTGTAGTTAGTTCCTTTGCCTGTGCCGTCAATGGGCCGCCCAAACATAGAAAGTTCATTCACTTACTTACTCACCCCCTCCATGTATAGACAAATGTTTTTTTCCGGCGCGTTCGCTTCAGTTTTTCGAATGTTTTTGCCAAAAAACGAAAATCAAAACAAGAAATGGAGTTTGTTATAATGGTTTTCGTGATGCCATCTCGGCACTGTGTGGTGCCTTTGGCCAACCATTTCCTTTCGAACATTTTTTTAATGTTTTTGATCTCAAATGTTTTTGTTATTTTGGTGAAGGTAATATGTTTTCGGAACCGGTCCTCCTGGGAATGCAATTTTCACATGAACTATGGCAAGCATAGAACGAAACAGAATGAAGGGTGCCTGCGTGGCAGCCCCTCTCTCTCGGTGAGAACATGGCTCACTTGTCTGAGGCAATCTCTGGACTTTAAGTGATTAACTGCTATCCTTGTCCAATGGTTGGGATTGGTAAAAGCAATCCAGGTTTTGTAAATGGTTGCTAAGTTTGGGCCCCATATTAAGAAATAGTTTCTAGGATAGAGGAAATATTTAAGAAATAGTTTCCAGGATTTAAAAAATACTTTCTGCGATTTAAGCAATAATTTCCAGGATTTAAAAAATAGTTTCCAGGATTTAAGAAATAGTTTCTGGGATTTAAGAAATAGTTCCTTTCATATTTGCCTCTTAGGAAGGTTAAGCTGGTAGGCTCCCGACGAAACCGGATCCCCCGGGTTCCCGCGACAGACCTTGACAAATAGAGAAAAGTTCAGGCACACACCAGTCCGGACTTTTTGGGGAAAACCTTGACTTGGGTATCCTCTTAGGTGTCTAAAAAGCCATGTGGCACAGGCCTGCTAACACCATCCCCCAACTCACCCGTAAAGGCTATCAGCCACATGGTTTTGTTTGGGGGGCATTTTTTTGATTCCACAACTTGTGGGTATCGCATGTGGAATTTTTCGCGGCGTTGTATGGTGCATTTGGCAAAAACTGCGCTGGGGCAGGGTATGTGTTTGACACACCTTTTCCTGGAGTGAAACAGCATTGCAACTGGTATGCGCGGTAGTACTCCCAATTGGATTCTAGATGGTTTCAAGTTTCAAGCGTCAACAGTTCCAGTGTGGTGAGGCATGGGTGAGGGAGGCTCTAGTACTATTAAACTGGCATGTGCGGTAAGGAGATTGGTTCTTTCTCACCACAAACTACCATTGGCAAATGCGTGTTCCAAGATTGACCAGGTTTGCCCTGACAACATGGTCAATGTCAATTTTTACTTGCAAATATTACCCTTTTGATTCGAATAATCGTTTCTCGGAAATCAAAATGATTTAGTAAATGGTTTCTACATGTTCTACTTTACTTGAAAAAAAAATTATATACATATCCTACTTATTTAGCAGATGGTTTCTAGTATTTAGCAAATGGTTTCTAGTTTTTTGCACGTAGTTCCCAGAATTTGGCAAATAGTTTCTAGTATTTAGCAAATTGTTGCTAAAATTGGCAAATGGTTTCCAGTATTTAGCAAATAGTTTCCAGTATTTAGTAAATAGTTTCTAGCGTCTCTAGAATTTAGCAAATGGTTTCTACCTGGAAAAAGTGTCCCGATTTTACAAAAACTGCAAATAAAGAAACCAACGCACTCCTCAAATTTTATATATATATTTGGAACGGAAAAAATTGAAACAATAAGAAGACAGCATGATTTGGAGACTTGGCCTCACAAATGTGTAGGACAATATTGGAACCTTACCTTTCATTTTTGAAAAATACATTGCAAGTTTGCCGACCAATCGGTGGGTCCGTCGTGTTGGTGCCACTTGGCGGCCGTGTTCCACGAACTCCGCAACATCAGGCTTACCAAAATTGTTCCTTTCTCCCGGTGCAAACAACTGCGGCAACCGGGAAGATGTAGCCACGCAAGGCAAAACCTGGTTACGATTTACAGACGATTTTGTTATGTTCTGCGATATCAGTCGGTGAGTGAAA